AATTTACCACGTTTGAGTTCCTCAACTTGATTTAGTCGTATATAAAACCCAGTCATGATTCGCGTGCTGGTATATACGCTGTCACATATGGCAATAGAATTATACTTGGGGTGTAATCACTTAACAATTGCTGTTATACCAGGAATTTTATTAATTCGAGCTAGTGTCCAGACATGAAATGGATTATTTGTTCGATGGTATAAATTAATTCAATGCAACCACAATGCATATTTTGATTTGGATACTTTGAGATGATAGTCCAGAAACACAACTTCTGCTTTCTCTTTAATATTGGGCCAGCGATATTTAAATGTTTATGTTTTTGATAAGATATTATAATGTCCTATTCTATGTTTCAGGTATTAATTTTCAGAAAAATTGACATAAACATAGTAGTTCTATGTTTCAGTTATGTTGACCTCGGACACTGATGTTTTGGGCGTTCTAAACCCTATATCATCGGGAATTCACCCTCTTAGAATTTGCATAACTAGATTCCAACGTCAATCTTTTCAAGCCATTATAATTATCTACGACAGCCTGGAATCACTTTAAGCAGTCTTGATTTTTATTGCTGTAAATCTAATCTATCCTGGTAAATCGAATCTCTAAAGGTTAAGCATAAAATTTAATTATTGAAATCTAAGAATATGATGTTTGCATCTGAAATTGGATTATTTTTATATCATCTTTTACACATCTTATTTGAAATGTTTCTTGAAGGGTGACAGATAATCAAATAAAAAACAATGCTTTAAAATAAGATTTTGTCTCTCGGCCACTCCGTCCGCTAGTGTATGATATACTGAAGACTAGCTCATTAAATAGTATAGTTTTCAATTCAAATTCATCATGATTATTTAGCTGAAGTAAAGGTCAGGTAAAAGGAAAAAATGAACTCATGTTATTTTGGGCGGAGCTCAACGCATGAAGATTTAAGATTACCATTCTGTAAGTGGAAAGAGACCAATCGCTTGGAACTCTGGATCAGGTGCAGGTATTCTTTTCAGAGCCATATGCAGCAACATTATAAAACAACTGGAATTTGACGTCACCATGCACATGCAAGTCTCATGCATTCAACTTTTTCATTAATTTCACTCAGCATAGTATACAATTTCTCGACAAAATACATATGGCATTTGAAAAAAATAATAAAAATACAGTGAAAATGCGCCATCCACTTGTATTTTAGTATTTACAAAACATGTCGCAACATAATTTGATCAAACTGACATTCTATGATCTTTCTAATGTTGTGATATTCAACTGTTATATGTCAATCCATGTTTTTTTAACATTTAAATTGATAGCTATCATTTCAATAACATAATTGCATCTCATTTAGAATCTATGATACCTCACAGGATACTCGTTTAGGGTCATTAAGTTAGTGTTTTAATCTTTGGGGCGAATCGACTCCATGGTAACGATCGGTTGTCTTGCACACGGGCCCTTTTATTGAAACCCCGTGAATTCACGCTGATATGAACCTTTATTAAAATTAATTGTTTTATTTTAATATGTTGCCACTATTTGTCATAAAACGTTACTTGTTTTGTTGTTTTTATCATTACTCGCAAGCCATCCTTGTAGGGTGTATAAAAACTAATTGATCTGTCAACATTGATGATTTTATTCAAAGTTGATCAATTTGAAATTAATTAATTCATTGTTTAGACCCAACCATGGGTTTTATGGAGTCGTTTTCGTTTTTTAAACTTGGGAAAAGCACTACATGCGAACAGTGTCATTAATTAGAGAAACATATGTACGAGACATAAAGCTGATTTTTGGAATCAATTGCTCAAGGAATTGCAGGTGAAAGTCGTGCATGATCTATTCACGATCTATCAAACATTACCTAGGCCCTTATTAGTGTCAGAGAATATTAACGATCCCTACAAATCTACTGCTGCAAATGTCATGAGCTGCCAAGTCTAAAATATTTTCATTCTTACTTTTTACTATTGTTTAGATTGAGAAGGTCAGGATTTTTTATAGGAGTTTTTCTATTGCACAAGTTTTGCTATCTGTGTAATTCTACTTGCAAACGTCTAATCACTACCTTTTGACGTGATGGCTATTTTTCATTCTAACCACAATTGAGACTTTTTATACTTATTTTTGCGATGATAATCAAGGTGTGTGTATTCGATATACGAAAATGATAAATTAAATATAATCGGTGTGATTCATTATTCTATATAAATCTGAATATTGATCCACAAAATATCTTAGTTTTTAACTGATTAATAGTTCAGAAATGATAATAGACACTTGATATTTGATTGCTCTCTGTGTTGAGTTCTCAATTAATTCAATTCTCATTCAAAATGACAATACACATACATTAAATGAAAATATAACATTGTTGTTGAACAAACGAATATCATGATTTTATAAATTGAAAGTTTAGCATTGTATAAGTAGTTGAACAATTGGAATTCTCTTAAAATTAGAATATCATGATTTTATAAAATGTACGTTTAGCATCGTAGTTGAACAACTGAAATTCCCTTAAACTTAGAATATCATGATTTTATAAATTGAACGTTTAGCATCGTAGTTGAACAACTGAAATTCCCCTAAAATTCGAATATCATGATTTTATAAATTAAAAGTTTATCATCTATCACATGTACTGCCCTAACCCTTGACTCTATAAGGGGTATGCAATTTGAAACCTCGTGGATAAATATGTCAAAATACTACAGTAAGCCAACCACCACTTTCTATCTGGTTGCAAATACCATTTGATACACCAACGCAACCATCACTTTCTTTCTGGTTGCAAATACCATTTGATACACCAACGCAACCACGGATTTCTTTCTGGTTGCAAATACCATTTGATACACCAACGCAACCATCACTTTCTTTCTGGTTGCAAATACCATTTGATACACCAACGCAACCACGGATTTCTTTCTGGTTGCAAATCTAATTTGATACACCGTTCTCATATATCAGGAATATCGGTCACTTCCACAAAAATCAGTACACTCTTTAGTCTGATGAAAGCAATCAAAAGATGATTGTTCTAACATTTGAGTTTATTCTGACCGATTAATCTATTCGAAATGTTGTTGATTACAAAAATCATAGTTCAGACGGAAACAAAAAGTATTTAAAAACTCCAGTTTATTACCCAATTGAAAAATAAAACTAATTACCAACTTATTACCAACTAATTTACAACTAATTATCAACAATTCTGCTGGCAATTGGAATTAAAGTTAAGCGTTAATTAAATCAATGATAATTATGGCCTAATTATCAGTAGCAAGTTCAACGTAAATTAACTTAAAATAATGCTGATTTATGATTTTTAGTTGATAATTAAGATATGAAATGTTTGAGGGTGATAGTAAGTGGTAAATTAAAACTTTTTTGTTCTGAAGTAGATTATTGGTTGATAGTTAACATATAGGATGATTATAATGATAATTAGTAGTAAATTAGGCCCATGATTTAGAAATACAAATCCCCTAAATTTAATTTCAAGATGGTGGAAAAAGAAAACATGTGAGAGATATTTCTCTCATAAAATTGAGAATTACAACGTGAATGGTGCGTATACTACCATGAAATTTGGTCAACATTATTATAAGGGTATGTAGAACATGAATACAATGTATGTTAAATCTTATTCACACTTCTGTCTGAAATGTTTATGAATTTAAAAATCTTTTTGAATCAGATCATATAATATTAATCCTAGAATGCAATTTAGGTACTAACATTGGTTACCTATATTTCACAAGTAATCCAAATGTGCTCTTCTAAATAATGATTGTTAGATCAAAGACATTTCAAAACATATTTTTGATTATATCGGTTACGTCCTTATTATGTAACATTATAGTCTAATGTTTGTGTTCTGATTTTAGTTGTTGATGGCAATAATGATGTTTTCACATGCTTTTCATGAATCTTAAAAATTTGCAAAATAGAATAGCTTTAAAAAAGAGGGGGAGAAACCCCAGGGTTCAAAGATGACATACGCTTATAATGTAAATCTGTATTGAAATGACATCGTCGCTGATTGGTTTAGCGAGTCGATCGTTGGTTGGTTTAAATCTAGGTCAATTTGAAAACTTTAAAAACCAAGATGGAGGGTACGTTTTCGACAAAAGGAGGTGTGCGAAGGAGGAAATCTTATGTCATCAATTGAATCATGGGGTTTTCCCTCCTCTTGCTGTGAAATTTCAATAGTTCAAGTTCAATTTTGTCTGTTCTGAAAGATCCTAATTAAGATGAATATTCCGTCACAAAATAGTTCAAGATGAAGCAAAAATCTCCGAATGAAGGGAAGCAAAAAAGAAGCGAGTCATTTTTGAGATGTCACAAATCTGACTTAAACCTAACTTTCAACTAATTATCAATAGTAAGTTAGGTGATAATTAGAGATTAACTTACATCAAACTTACAACTAACTTTCAACTAATTTACGTAAATAGCTCATTTGCATATTGATGGTAGTTAATCGTTAATTAAGTTGCAAATTAAGCGTTAATTAAGTTGATAATTAGCTCATTTGCATGTGAATTTTTACACCTAACTTTCAACTAATTATCAATAGTAAGTTAGGTGATAATTGGAGATGATTTTCCATAGGCTTTTTTCAATTGGGTAGAAGTTGAGAGCATATTCAAATCGTAAAAATCAATAATAAATTGGAAAATAATCCATATATATGAGCAACGGTGTATGATAAAAGTAGGATGTATAAAATAATATAATAATCCAAGTGGAACCCTCCCCCCACGCATGTTAAGGTTAGTATTGTGTAGGTTACATATATATGTACAGTTGTTAAATTATAATTGACTTCATTTCAAACGTTGTTGTTATTCCTGTACTCAATCAATAGCTTATTATCCTGAAAGTGATGAGATAAGAAAACTATATACAAAAGCTATTTTAAGATACCGAAATAAAGGGTACAGTATAAGAAATAGGAAAATAAAGAAATAAAATTAAATAAAACATTTTACCTTCACTTTTTATATCTTTAAAAAGCTGCGCCTCTGGAAATAATGTCTCCATGGCCATTTCAACTACGATCTGTTTTTTCTGACCCTCGTTTTGTTACTGTTGACCTCTGTTCTTATCTTTCTAGAGTTTAAATAATATCGTCAAATATTTTAATTGTATCTGTCTTTGCGTATTATGATGCAGACGCTGGCTTGTTCTCGGAGAAACGACCGCTGTGTGTTCTTAACAGTGTCGTATTAAAAGATGTACAGTTGATTTGTTAACAAATCATCTGATTAAATATAGCGCATTGGAATCACAGAGACCACGTGGCCAAGTAGTAAATATTAAGAGATAATAGAATGGCCCAGGATCGGACGAGTTCATTTTTTGAATAATTTGATGAGCTTGCTCGTTCTCAGGTAATGAATAAATTGTCTTTTATTGACTAATTGAGCATTGTTTAAGGTAGCTTGATACAATTAGATGTATATTCGAGGTGTCGCCGTTTGCCTACAAATGTATGAATCGTTCCAGTTATACTTGATAGACCCATTGCAGTCACATCTACCGATGCCAATTTTTTGTTTTCAAATCAGCTATAGAAATAATAGTTTATTTAAATGAAGTTTTGATCACTAAAAAAAACTAGCTCATGGAGGGGGTCTGAAACTCATTGAATACTATCTATTGCTATACCCACATTCCCGAGAAAGTGCGATGAATGATCCCAATGTCTCTAGGCCTCAGTGACATATCTAATAAATTCTTGTAAATTCGTCTCCAGTATAAGAATATGCCAAAAACTAGAAAAGCAACCCCCATAAACTATAGCCAAGAAAAGCTACAATCCATATATTCCAGTTTTTAAAGTGCAAGCCCCATATGCTATATAAACACCAAAAACAAAAACAGCAAAGTAATTGAGAAACATTTCAGATGAAAACAATCAGAGGTTGGTCGTCTGTTGGTATTTCATTCCCCAAAGACGTTTATTTCTCGATACGCTAGATTGATTTGCCTCGAAACCAGTCGAACATGAAAATGCCATCAAAGTAACACGAAGATATTAGGCTACTAGTAACTTTGACATGGCAGAAAATTGCCCCATCTCGCTCGTTAAGCTAAAATTAATTGGACTTGTCATGTACTTATGTGATTCAATTGACATAAAGGTATAGAAGATTACTAGCGTTTGATGGACTTTGCTTACTAATTTTCTCAGTAGCAGCGTGATATTGCGCCACCATCAACTAGCTTGGTTTGCGCCTGACACTACCATAATTGTTTTCCACTTCATTCTGTCTAATTGCAACTAATGCTTTTGTCTTGATCCCGTATGTTGATTTTAACTATTCTCTCTTTGACTGCGTTTGATTCTTCAGATTGGATTCCCTGCTTGAGGGTTATTATTGCGGAGATGATGATAATTCTTAGAGCCCTTGCTTGCACAGTTGATAACTCAAGATTGCGCGATGTAAATTCTCGAGGCAGAACGCATCATTTTTCTTTTAAGGCAACTGCCTAACTCCAAACCATTCTTAAAAACTCCATTTTTGCAGCTTTGTTGTGTCCTTGCTTAATTCCCTTTACATGTTTTTCTAGAATTTCTATTTTTATTTTAGATATTTTATTCTCTCGAAATGACTATTTAGTGATGTAGGCTACAGGGTGTTCCATAAATAATGATATTTATGCTTCAAAATATTTTACCTTTATTTCAAAGTAATTAATAAACATAATACAGCTAAACAAAACCTGTATTTCTATTTAAATTTGAAGTGAATTTTATATTCTTTCCTCATCAAATAATATGTTTTGAACAAAGGAGTGGTATCGATATGGGGAACGTTTTGAACACGGGTTTCTCTAAACCAGTCATCAAAATATTCTGAAAATTTTACACACCGTCAATTTAATGATCATCTTTTGGATGGTAATATTATAATTTGAAATATACTGTATATGTATACTTTCATCTATATTGTTTTAGAAAACACATCAGACACTTCATTCGTTCTTGGTATCATGTGTTCGGAATGTTCAAATGAAACATCTATCCGAACCTCATTGAAACAAAACAACATAAACACAACGTGTTTAGGTCTATCAATATTGTAATTGTACATTTAGGAAAGTTTGGTTGATTTTAAAAAAGTATTTAAATATATAAATGAAATAAAAGGCGTGTTTTAATTTTTATCTATTTTGGAAGGTTTTGTTTTGAGTTTTGCACACTTTTTGTAAAATCAACCAAACTTTCCTTTGTATAACTATAATATTGAGAGGTCTACGAAAATGTTGTATATGTTACTTTGTTCCAACAAAGTTCGGAAAGAAATTTTATTTCATTCTCAAGAATTAGAAAGGAACAAAAAACGATTGCACTAAAAAACAAAAAATGTTAACAAAAACAGTACAAAATATATATAAATAATTTTTGCATTAAATTGTTGCCAATCAGTCAACATTACATAAATGACCGTGTTTTTACATTGTTTTCAATAATTGGTTTAAGAGAAAAACATTGTTTAATTCAGTTCACCATATCGATACCTATCCTTTGCCAGTACTTATAAGACACCCTGTATACACGTATGATGAATAAGCCATTGGAAATGTAAACAAACAAGGTGAAGGTATATAAATCACTATAATTATAAAAAAGAATATTTGTCTGATACACCATATGGGTATGTATTAGAAAAAATCAAAGTAAGCATATAACTTGTTATCTTTTATTTCTATCAAATAACGATATTATGATTATTTACATTGCATGTTATCTACGTTTTAAAATTGAAATGTTGTTACCTCCCTTGGGCGATGGTTGTTTTCTAACAGAATGGCACTGTTTTAAGCCAAAAATGGCGCATCTCCGTTTGTATTTAGTGTACATTTGACTTTGCTTTTTCTAAAGAGTAAATATCAGTAACAAATACACTCAAAACACAAATACCGTTTAATCGAAGATAAGAACAAAAAGTTTTCTGTCGTGGGATTTATTTGAGTTTGTGTTTGAGTCTAGATTTTAAGTTTGATTACAAGCCGAGGTAATGTAAAAAAGGCACATTAAATCTAAGCGCCTTAAGTAACTTTAAAGTTTAAGTCAAGAACTGTATCGTATTTTAATTTTCTCGCGGAAGAATATTTAACTATTCAATTTATCAAATCAAAAGTACAAATGTTTTCTTCGTGAGTTAGAGTAGCGAGAGTGAAGGTATCAATGTCAATGATATATACATTAATATAATATATAATAATACATTAAATCATACGATTGCCCTTTAATTGGCAGAGGATTGAAAGGGAATTGGGGATTTATTGTACAAAATACGCCCTGGAAATGATAAGTTCGGAAATGTCCCCAAAAGTTGTCCCACCCTCGTGAAATCACAGCAGAGACCAACGTTTTAGTCACGAGAAAACATTTTGACTTGGCCATGCGTTTTTGGCGTACCTAATTGTGTTGTATTGTATCCTTTATTACCACATTATTTCTATATGAGTACATAACAATTTTCAATATTTTTTTTCCAAACATATTTACATCAACAATATAATACAGACAATCGGAATTTAGAAGCCGTATGGAATGCCCTCTGATCGACTTTCCTTCTGTCACGTAGATCAGGCTATGATGAGGTATATAGATTAAAACATTATATTAACTTTGACAGAAAAATTATAACTCTACTACCCCCCTGAGACAGTGTTTCTGGATTTATTTCATCCAATATCGAATTTGAAATATTAGACATGAAGATGTCTTGATTCAATTGTGAACACCCCTCAGTTAATCTAAGGATAATAATTATAGCTGAATTATTTTGACGTCTTCAATGTTTTCTTGCGCATCCTCAGGAAAACATGACAAACCGTAGATTTATGAATCAAAGAAGCATTCAAATGACTTTAATCGAGCTGATAATGCCGAAGTAGCTCCCGGACACATTGAGTTCCTGGCTGAGGGGAACTCTTGGAATTAATATTTCCTCCCTTGAATTCCTCATTCAGTTCTGCTTCATATTGTTTCTAAAGCGTTTGACTGTACAACAACCATCACTTAATTGATCGATCAAAGGTGTTTGTTGTCTTTCACTATCAATTAAGGCACAAATGAGGACGCCCTTCAGTTTTTGCGCGGGCGTATGCTTCAAGGAGGTTCTTGCCACTCCCGATCTTGTGGTAATTTCTTCGGCGTCGCTAGCAACAGGCACGCGAGAGGCAACTGACTCGGCAAAATTTACAGAGAAGCGTAATATTTAATGTTTTTACTAAAAATTGTGAATATTATTCCCTAAAAGACTAATAATCTTCTCTTGCTAATGTTCTGCCTCTCAATTCTAGTTTTTTACTCGCCTAATTTTGGTTCATGGCTGGCTACGCCTCTTATCTCGTTTTATAAAACAGGTTTTATAAGACTTTGGGCCATATGTTCAAAATACATGTAAATCTAGGTGAAAACTCAAAGTAATCTATGTCATAAGAAACACAGTATTATATATAAAGGCTATATAAATCGTGTTCGAAAGTGACTTAACAGTAAACGAAAATGAAGGCTTTTATTGGTTTGACAGTTTTTTGTTTTATTCTTCAAACAGTGGTGGGTAAGTTCATTTAGAATACCCCGACAATATTTACACACTATTTATTTAGATGGTTTAATATATGTTACGATGTAATTTCTGACAACCTTTTTGTTATGTTATGATATTGATATTTTCTGTTGATTCTAACAGGTCAGGTGGAGAACCCATGTGACGATGGTTTCGGATATACAGAACAGGAATGCAACGACCAAGGAGGCGTTTGCGTCCCAGATCCGGACCCTGTAAACGCTGACCCAGAATGCCCAATCGGATACGAACCAGGTAAAGTGTATTAGGCCTAACTATATTTTGGAAGTAGAAACTCACAAACTTTATTAAAGGCAAGTTACGATTATGAGCTTACACATCAGGGGAGTAGCCAGCCATTATCAAGGGCGCGCGATTTTTGGGGTTTGCATCACTGCGAGTGTGCGCCCCAAAAGGGGGGGTCCGGGGGTTCACTTTTAAACATATTTTCGAAAAAGAAGATGACCATTAGGATTCACCAATAGTTCACTCCATTAAGAACCAATATGGTAAATGTAATTAAAAATCTTTGGAGTCTTTTTTGCAAAGTAAGAGAAATATGTTAGTGTTTTATCATTTTATTATTCAACATAAACATCTTCAAGAATTGTACACAAATAGATCAAGGAAGATACATGTAAATTCTAAACTCTATCTATGACCTTTAA